ACACACACACACACACACACACACACACACACACACACACACACACACACACACACACACACACACACACACACACACACACACAATGTCTGACACAATTATTCTGTCATGTTACAAAAAACGCTTGCTGTGCTCTTGTGTCTGGAAAGCTCGTTACTGGACAGTAAAGTTTTTAGGGTTTTAGGAAGACATTCAATCCACTACGCCTGTCACACTGCAAACACTCGCCGCAGATGATCCAACACCAAGTTGTGTTCGAGGGAGCTCGTTCCAAGTGTTCCTGCACGAAAACACAGGTACGAGCCCGACCTCACGTCCCACATGAAGGAAGAATGTGTGTGTCGGAGTGTGTGAGGCCTGCAACCCCACACCAGCAGGCCAGTTTTTCCTGCCTGCGAGGGAGATAAATGAGGGTCCGCTACGCTCCCTGTGGGCCAGACCACCATTAGAAGCCACTGATGATATAATAAAAGCTTTGGAAACACTTTCAGACACATTTATTACGACAAAATCCTCTCCTTGGCCAGGATCCGACAGAGGTATGCTCGTGGAGGGCACGGATGATTCCTCGAATGAGGAGATTCATTTACTGTGACTCAAAGATTCATTCATCACGGCCACTCCGAGCCCGCAAATATTGATAGTGATTGACCTGTGGCACAGGTGGTGTTTGTCTGTGTCAAGGACAAGAGTTTATGTCCACACACTTATCTAAAACAAGAGAAAAAATGAAAAGCCACTAGACAGGGTTTGGCGTCGAAAACATCAGCGTGTCCAACATTCACACTTCAGACTTTGAGAAATCACGCAGATGAAGATTTATCTTTTCCCCTCCTCTCCTCCCAAGTTGAACTGACACGAAAGTATTAGGTTTTTATTAAATGCATGCTTAAAGCTAAGCCCAGTTACCTCACTAAAATACAACCTGCCAAACCGTTGTCTTTGTAAGACTCTTAATTCATATTAAATTACTTTCTGCATAAATCACCTTCACTTTCAAACAGCCAACAAAGCTCATACTTGTTTTTGCTGTCAGCACTTTCTTTAGAAATAATCTTTAAGGGATTTTTCCATCCATTCCCTGGCTCTAGTAGGTACATAATGCTCAGTGTCATTGCCACTTCATTTCAACTTGGCTGTCTGCACACAGTGTTGACAGAAATTAGATCAATAGACACAAAGCAGGCTGTAAACCGTAGGAGAGCAGCATAGCTCAAACTAATGGAGCCATTACCCAACATATAATATTCAATTTGACATCAGAATATGGCTTCTGTGATCCATCGTGAGGCAAATAACTGTTCTTTCAACCAAACAGATATATGTTTAATCAATTGAAAAAAAAAATACTATACATGGACTTCTCCTAAAATAAGACTAAGTGTGTACAGCCATCTGTGCGGCTGTACTGCGGATCAGCTCTGACGTCATAGCATACGCATGTACACGTCAATTATTCCACCAGCCACCAAACCAAAGGAATTATTTTCTCCAATTTAGAGACCCCCAACCACATGGAGACTCCAACTCTACCGGCCCTGTGGGATGTATGCAAGATGATGACATATTACACTGGAGTAGGCTGGTTTTAAATAAATGAACTATTTTGAATGGAAAAGTTCTTCATTTATGGTAACCCTCATTAGGAGAAAAAGCTTAAAATGTGTTCATGTTCTTAGAGAATGTTATTAATACTTTTCTTATTAACAAACTCAAAAACATGCTGATGTTAAGCATATAAAATATATGTGAATATGGTTATACAATATAACCATCTTCAATATCTTATTTAGGCATGTTAGCATACTAAAATGTGTTGATTAGCAGCAAACACAGGAACAGGAAGGAACAGGACACTTTTGACAGGAAAACAAGAAGATATGTATCTAATACCATGACAATCCATCCCATATTAGGTCAAGACATTTAACTAAAGACTCACAACCTCATGGTGTCGTTGGAGGAGTAATTGAAGGACCACCAAAGTCATTAGGATTCATCCTCTGAAGGACCATGAATGTCCGTACAAGATTTCATGGCATTTCAACTCAATGCTGAAGAGTGCCATCATGCTATTCTGAGCTGGCAATGCAGACAAATTAGATGTCCCTTAGAGACTGCTTTCAAAGCCTGAAGCCAATTCCAGCTTCATCAAATAAAAATCAACGGATAAATGAATGCAGCGTAACTCATCAAAGCCAATAAGCTGTTACCATACCAGCCAGGATTTCAATAGAAATCCTCTTATCTGACCTTTTTTAGGAAAAGCAGGTGTTACCTTTCCAGTTCAAGGTTATAAAGAGAAACCAATAACGCCACGGGGCACAGAAAACCACCACCACACACCAAGCAGTATCAACAACAGATGTATTCAGCCTTACAGATTGTATGGAACCTGTTGCCTTCACAGACACGTAAAAACATGCATGCTTTAACAACCTATCCCTCTAAGGAGAAAGGGCCACTGTTATCTAGCTGTTCTACATTCGGATAATTGGGCTTTAAATCACACATGAGATGCCTAGGATTGGTGTCTGATGTCAAAAGCTGCAGATTTATGTCCTTCCTCCCCCCTGCATGTCTGAGTGCCTACATCAGTTCTTTAGATGTCGCTTTATTACCTGCACTGTCTTATACTTTATGTGGACAGGGCGCTGGAGGAGGAAAGAGAAGATATGGGGGAAAATGTTACTAGGGTGAGGAAGAAACTAGGGAAAAAAGTGGATGCACTTCAGGATCCTTAAGATTTAGAATGTTAACACCGGCAACCATTACTGTTAATAATTTCATACTTATAAATATAGCTTTTACTTTAGCCGCGTCAACTTCTTAAATATGTGATATTAATAGATTCCCAAAATGGGCACTGACGAGGCTGATAATCTTGTGCGTCTCCACTCCCCTAGCACTGCGCCTCGCTTCCCCTCCAGAGATTAAACAGACTCTCAAAATGTCTACAAATGCATACAAGGTAAGATCAATACCTCAACAAAAATAACCTAAATCAACCAAGGTCAATACCTCAACCCAATTAAAGCTACACCGTCCTGGCCTCCAAATCTGTGACCCCCTCCTCAGGTACATTTAATGATATCACTGCCTTAAAAACTGTGATTCGGAGGGCAAAGAAATTCTGGATCGCATTTTAGACCCACAGGTGGAAGTAATGTGTGACAAGCAATAGTTGGACATTTCCATACTTATGGCCACAGAGGACCGTTTTTAGGAGCAGAAGTCAATTACCTTTCTTGGCATGGGTCTTGAGGGGAATCAAATTGAAAGGACAACTGCCCTTTAAAATCCCCCATGCTCACAACTGTTCTGCATTATATCTGATAAATAAGACACCCGCCTGAGAAAGAGGACACAGGACCATTTATGTAAACACGACTTTATCTCGGAGTCCTCCTTCACAGCCTTCCTGCTGGCACTGAGGATTATGTGCGAAGATACAAAACTTCTGGGGGACTTTTTCTGTGGGAATATTTGTGTAAATGACATTAATGTTGGATGGACAAAAGGCAGTGTATTACGCAGAGAATGATCAAGAGTTCTCTCATGGATGTCTTTACAGAACACATCCACACACACTGTTGTGTGTTGCATGAGTGTGAATGTGGTTATTTCGCGTGACGTGCAAGAAAAAGTCATCAAGTTGATGTTTAGAGAAGAAACAGACTTGCTGGTGGTTACAGCTGCAGCAACCATCAAGAAGTTAATTAAACCACCATGTGAAATATAAATCCACTGTTAACTGACAAGACAACTGACAATCCAATTAAATATATGAATATATTTTAAGTTTGTAAAATAAATGTGCTTGGTGCTGGCTAAACTTCAGCAGACAGAAAATGTGTACTGCCAATCGCATTTCTATCTCTGTTACGCATTTCCAATTTCTGTAAGACTCCTGCACAGCTTGTATCCTAATTATCAAGTCATGGCTGAATTACATAATATAGTGAGGGGGTATTTAGCCACAACTGTGATTTGGCCGCAGTAATCATTCCAGAATACAAATATTTGCAATCAAAGCTATTATTTTCACACAAATAGCTTTTGCAACATGTCGTCAAAATGGAAACATATTTCGTGTTTGTGTATGATGAACAAAGCATCAGTAACAAATGAGAAGTCTGCACAGGGTCAAGAGGAAATCCTGTTTTGGGAAATGCAGATAGGAACCAAAAACAACTGAAAAGTCTAAAGAATGTTTTTTGTAAATATTGAAGCTGATAAAAGTCTGTATGCAGGGTACAGATTTCAGACACTCACAATAATATAATGTCAAAAAGACTTATTATGGTAGTCCATTTTTAGGTTTCTATTCAACTGATATAACAAATGGTCATATATTCCAGATGGATGTCAAAGCTACTAAAAAATGAATTTGAACTTTGATTTCAATACTAACCATGCTCATAACTTCATGTACATGTTGTCATTGACTAAAGAAATCTTAAGTTGACTAACAAGCACATTTTTTGTCGATTGTTCTGTAAATTGATTTATTCAACAGATCTGAGTTTCTACAAAAAGAATAATGCAAAAACACAGCTTTAAAATCAGGTGTTTACCAGAGATGTCTTCATAAGTCTCTTGGAAATAAGTATATAGCAAGAAAAAGCATTTTAAAATGACAACCAGTTGACTAATCATCATAAATGATTTGTATATTTGTTTCACATGCTGTGTGTGTGTGTGTGTGTGTGTGTGTGTGTGTGTGTGTGTGTGTGTGTGTGTGTGTGTGTGTGTGCGTGTGACATGAAAGGAGACACTGAGAAGGAGAAAAAGACAAAGGACTGAGTGAGAGTAAATGAGATAGCTCTTAATTACCGCCTGCGTTTCTGTATGATGTCAATAGGCCTGTTGACAGCGCACGGCGATCCCCATATGTTCCCACTCCGCACAGTGATACTCCGCTCCACGGAGTAACAGAACCCGCAGTTGGTCGGCACACTCATCTTTCTTTAGCCTACTCTCTTCTAACTTGTCCTCACCCTCCTCTTCGCGGCCGCTCCGCTGTTCTCCCTCTCTTGGTTCTCCTCAGCTTGTGGCTGCTCTCATCCCTGGAAAAGCCGGCCCTCTTCCTTATGTGACTTGCTCTGTCGGGCTGTCCGGCTCTCCGTGGCTTCCCAGGAGTTCTCATTACCTCTGGCAGGAGTGGACACCAGGTTTAGGACCAGTAGCTTCAGCGCAGAGCCAGAATGAGCAGGGTGATGCAATCCATGTCAATGAATGCTGGTGAAAATCTGCTCTTCTTTGGATGATTTGAATAAATTAGGATTCCTTCCTGAGCACCTGGATTCCTCTTGTGGGAGCTGCACACTCCGAGCTGTCTGCTTTATAGTGAAAAGCGTTTCATCACTCTCAGCAGAGCCGCAGTAATCGGTCCCCCATGAACATTTTGTCTCTGGTCCGGGTCTAAATGTGGCGCAACACTGCTGCCCTCTTCCCTCTCTCTATCTCCCTCTCTTGCTCTTCTTCTGTTTCTCTCTCTGCTTATTCCTCTGCTGCTCCACCTCAGTACAAACAGAGACCTTTCCTTTCCCTGGACAAACTTGCTCTCCTGCTTCAATCTGCTGTCACAGAAGCCCTACGCTGTGAGTGGGTGTTTCTCTCTCAGAGCCCCACAGAATGTGCCCAGATCTGTACGAGGGGCTGTGTGTGTGCGTGTGTGTGTGAACGAACAAGCGTGTGCGTCAGAGAGCAAGTGTGTGTATAGGCATGTGACTAAGCAAGTGTCTGTGTGTGAGTGTGTATTACACACAAGGGGGAACAAGTTTCAGAGTGAGGTCAGAGCTGAGAAAGGGGGCGGGAACTGAGCCAGCATGGTTTCTGCCTGCCCCAAATGTTTTAGCCATTTGAACCCCTTTCTACTTTTTCACACACACCCACACACACTGAATCCTAATCCCAGGACAGCACTTTCTCTTTAGACAGGACTATTATCCTTACCAGATGGAATGTGTATCCATGTGTGTGTCTGTGTGTGGGACACAGGTATGTTTTGTCTGGGTTATGTAAAGAGATTGATGACAGGATGAGTATGATAGGGTATTATAGTAAGTAGCTCAGCCTTCTGAGAACGAAGAACACGTACAAACAAACACACACATACACACACACGTACCCGTATACAGTAGGTACTCACGCACAGGCTTAGGCAACAGCATGCAAGGTCACCCATGGCCAGGGGCAGTGTATTTTGGAAGACAAGAAATGTGAAAAGTAAATATGAAACCTTAGCTGGTCGACCTTCTGTACGCTTCATGTGAAAACTTCAACAGGAAATATTTGACAAGAGATCAGCAAATTGAGACAGGGGCTATGAATCTAAAGGCTGTGTACCGGGAGACAGATTAGCTTTGGATTTTTGGACCAGAGAAGAAAAATGTGCAAAATGTCACCAGGACAGGATGTGTGTGTGAGAAGATTGAGTTACTGCAGTGAGAACAGGAGTAGGGAAGGTTTCTGACTGCACAGCCAACCTGATCTCACCAGAATGCGTGACTCCACCACGACTCCTTAACACCGCATTGCATGGTGGAGTCACGCATTCTGCTACATTTGCGTGTCGGCACCACGCAAAAAAACCCAATGTAAAGTGAATGAGGCTCTTTTGTCGTGGTGCACACACGCATTTCTACAACGTCCTGCAGTGAGCTTTTATTCTATAAAACGTTTTTAAAATCTACTTTATAGCTTGTAGTAACTCACGGGAGGCTTCTTTTATTTTATTTGTATTCATAATCATCTTTATTTTTCGTCAGAATGTAAAAATTACATTAGTTACGAATTTGTGTTCTCAAAAAACTGTGCATTGTGTGTAATACAACTGTGATTTTTAGTAAATTAGTTAGTTTTTAAGGAAGGCCAGAGCTTCAGCTGGCTCCAATAGATTGTTCCCTTTAGTTAACGTTATTTAAAAGATAATCATCATGTCCCCTTTATTGTATTACGAGCGTCCATTCCCATTGGATAACGGAGAATTTTACACCCGGAAGTAAGTATTCTCCTTACTGTCGATTGATTTTACAGTGATATCTGAACTACTCATCAACTCAAAAACACCAGATTATCCTTGTTAATTACACAACATTGATTGGTTTAAATTGTGTACAATGCTTTTGTATTTTTCCCCTTCGATTAGGAGAAACGAATATTTTTTCAGAGTTTTTGGATGGCAGAAGACACTACACTACCCAGAATCCTCAGCTATCGTTTGGGACTACACCATGTGCTTAGCTTGACAAACCCCGTGATCAGTCCTCAAGCTCTGTGATTGGTTGACCTCCAACTGCATTCCATATAAAAAACGTTTCGTAAAAGATAAATCATACTTTATTCAGCAGTGCTTGCTTTACTCTTTGAAAGTCATCACATGAATGCATTGTAATAAATGGTTTGGCTGCATTAAATATTACACATCTGTCGTAGTTCTTTATTTATCTACAGAGATCGGGCCTCAAAATAGACCGGAAACTATTATTTTACCGTTCTGTTTTAATTTCACAATAAAGTTAGTAGTAATAATTTGTTTTGATATTATTGTTTTTTATTAACTACTAGACCGCTGGGTCATGTTAAGACCATCTTTTCTGTGTTGCTGTGGGTTTTTTCCATCGCTTTTATGTTACAAATATCAAAACAATAACAAAATATATCCGTTGTCAACTAAACCAAAAACAGCAGTATATTTTATTTTGTTAACACTGTAAACTTGACAGCTTTTTAACCCAAACCACCTACTGGTTAAAGCACGTTATTACACGTTTAGAGTAATTGCAATGCAGGTAGATTATGTTGCTTTTTAATGACTGTTTAAAATGCCTTTTTCTTAATGTCTTTCATTTTTGTAAAGCACTTTTGAATGTGTTTGATGAAAACATTTAAATATTAAGAATACATACAAAATAGTGGGAAAGTAGAAGGTCAATGATATAAATATAGAATAGAAAATATCAAGAAGATACTGTAAATAATATCTACAACAAAACAGTTTAGTGCCTGATAGGAGGATGTGCTAACTAATAAGGCTTTATTTAAACATTAAAGAATACTTTAGGCTAAGGTCTTCTTTTAAATAAGAAAAAAGCTTTGGGGGTATCTATCTACAGATACATATTAAGCCTGACAAAGTACTTAACGTCTAATATATTGTATGGTTTGTTTTGGAACTTGACAATCAACTTTCCTGCAATGTTAACTATGTTAAAGCACTTATTTTAACCGATATTATACATCTTTATTATACTCTTATAAGATGTTAGATAGAATAATACATGTGCAGAATATGACAGTTTAATGGTGGAGGTACACACGTATTGATAGATGTCTTGTAATGCACTGTTGAGGAACCTGTGACCCAAGTTTTGCATTCATTGCATAACTACACCGTAGTTGTGTATATGATATGTCAATAAACCTTAGAAAATCTTGAAATCTTGAAAGGGATGTGCAAAATATCAATTATATACAGTCTTTAATTAACTATTAGTAGAGAATAACGAGTAATGAATATACTTTATACGGATCTGCAGATAAATGTTTAGTCTTCTCAAGCACCAAATATCTCTCCTGATTGTTGGCACTTGACAATCACCTTCACTGAATTTTACTCAGGTGTAACTAAAGTCTGATTTAAGGGTTGTTTATATTTCACATCATTAATCCAAATCTGTAAAGTAACTAAAATAAATGTAGTGGAGTAAAAACACCACGTTAACCTTAAAGAAAGCCCTCAGGATTATAAAAGACCCCCATCACCCCAGCCACAAACTGTTCTGTCTGCTGCCGTCTGGCAGGCGGTACCGCAGCATCCGGACTAAAACCACCAGACTCAGGGACAGCTTCATCCCACAGGCCATAAGATTATTAAACACCTGATATTTGAAACAACATCCATAACATTCATCTGGCTGCTACATATAAATTATTTATCTAATATATCATATTCACAATGTAGTGACTGCTTTTTTGTCTTTTGTTTTCTTAGTTATGTTCTCTTTTATATGTGTGTGTTATGTGTTATGTGTAACGTTGCTGCCTTCTTGGCCAGGTCAGTATTGAAAATGAGATTGTATCTCAATGCTTTTATCTGGTTGAATAAAGGTTAAATAAAAAATAAAAAAGATTCCAATCTGTATATAGACTCTTATTGCACTATTTCACTATTTTTTCTGTGTATCTGTTTTATTGTGTTGCACTATTGGAGGAGCCTGCGACCTAAGGGGGGGTGGGGGGGAATAGGACACGTTCGATTCTTGTTTTGAATAGTGTGCCGTCGATGGGTTTCATTCCATTTCAAGGTGCTTTTTGACGCTCCGTGTAAACTTTGCGCACTGCCACTCCAACATCCAATCACAGAGCTTGAGGACTGATCATGGGGTTTGTCAAGCTAAGCACATGGTGTAGTCCCAAACGATAGCTGAGGATTCTGGGTAGTGTAGTGTCTTCTGCCATCCAAAAACTCCGAAAAAATATTCGTTTCTCCGAATCGAAGGGGAAAAATACAAAAGCATTGTACACAATTTAAACCAATCAATGTTGTGTAATTAACAAGGATAATCTGGTGTTTTTGAGTCGATGAGTAGTGCAGATATCACTGTAAAATCAATCGACAGTAAGGAGAATACTTACTTCCGGGTGTAAAATTCTCCGTTATCCAATGGGAATGGACGCTCGTAATACAATAAAGGGGACATGATCATTATCTTTTAAATAACGTTAACTAAAGGGAACAATCTATTGGAGCCAGCTGAAGCTCTGGCCTTCCTTAAAAACTAACTAATTTAATAAAAATCACAGTTGCATTACACACAATGCACAGTTTTTTGAGAACAAAAATTCGTAACTAATGTAATTTTTACATTCTGACGAAAAATAAAAATGATTATGAATACAAATAAAATAAAAGAAGCCTCCCGTGAGTTACTACAAGCTATAAAGTAGATTTTAAAAACGTTTTATAGAATAAAAGCTCACTGTGGGACGTTGTAGAAATGCGTGTGTGCACCACGACAAAAGAGCCTCATTCACTTTACATTGGGGTTTTTTGCGTGGTGCCGACACGCAAATGTAGCAGAATGCGTGACTCCACCACGCAATGCGGTGTTAAGGAGTCGTGGTGGAGTCACGCATTCTGGTGAGATCAGGTTGGCACAGCGTGTGCTATGGTGTTGCCAAGTCAAAAAAGAAATCCACATATGAGTGATATCATAACGGGTATTTAAAACTAATTTTTACCTATTGACCTTTAGCTAAAGTCCTCGCCCAAACAGTGACTGTTAAATCATAGCTTTTACAAACATAACTAGAGAGACCTGTCAAGATTTGGAAACGTCCTAATGTAGAATTGGTGTAAATAATGCTGTGAAAAATCGGACATTTAAAGAGTCAAATGGGTTGTTTAGGTTTATTTTTGACTTCCCAAATCAAAATGTAAATATGTATATGAAATATTTGGCATGTGTGGCTAACTTATACCAGCAGATGTAACCTGGTGTTAGTTTCAAAGCCAAGAAACACACCAATAAAACTGGTGTAGGCAACTTAGGAGAACCCAGCAAGAGTAAGCTAGCTTTTGGATATATCCAACCAAAGACTGAACGCACAGTTCCTGACTATAGGCTTATCCTCTCAAATTACCTCCTGTTTTATTCACATTCAAGAAGACACCTATGTTCTAATGAATGTCAACTAGAAAATTGCTTTTTTTAGTACTCACAGCTGTCGATGTCATTGAGTGCAAAGGCAGGCCATCCAATAATTTCATGGGCTTATAACAGGCCTCCTAGTGCATTTGACTTATTGATTGCTGTTGGGATGCACTGATAGTTTCATCCAGTGGTTTTAAATGAACTTGCCTACCCTAGCTACATTAGCTTGTGGGGTAGCAGGTTACATTAAAAAAGCCCCCCCCCCTCCCCCCGAGACACTGTATTGTATTTCACAGTGTTTCCTTGAGTAACTTGAGTGGATGTCTGTTTCCAATTTGAAGAAGTTCTGACAAGGTGTTCCTGAGATATTGCTACCATGACAATGGTACTGACACACAAACACATCGACAAACGTAGCCAAAATCGTAATACAAGAAAAACTCTGTTTCTTAATTAAAATGTCAAATATATTCATAAACAATCAACTAGGGATGATGCATGGGATGCCTTTTGCATGTTAAAAGTAGCTTAAGATTGGCAGTAACTCTTATGGTTTGTATTTCCTGTCTGTAGCCATCAAGTTAATATTAAAAAACGAGGGCGAAATGTAGCATGTGTACAGTTAAGGCTATTTGTAAGCTAATTAAAGCTGCAACTATAGTCAAATACAAGCTTCATGTAAGGCTTGTAATACTTAACAACTGAAAGGATTTAGCCCAAAAGCTACATCAACAAAAAATCCCCCTATGTGGTCTGCCTTTTAAGGTGGACCAGCATTTCAGCAGAAAC